GTGTAAACAAGAAATGAAAACAAAAAAGGAAGAGAAACCAGTTTTTTTTTTCGAGATTCTATTAAAGATTTCACTTATTCGCTAATGTCTAGTCTGCTACGATAACAGATTAGAGAGTAAGGATAAGGACAAAACAAAGATAAAGAGTTAGGGGGCTTATCGACCTCTTCTGAGGGATGCGCCTCCGGATTACACTTCCATTCAAAATCATTTAGGCGTTTGAATGTTACGTGGCCTATGCACTGGCTTGTGCTGTGGTCAGCAGATGTACAAGTTACTTTCATCCTCTCAAATGAAACTGATAAAAATTAATAGACTCTAGAGCTCCGGATCGAAATCCGCCCAGGCCAACCGAGCCGGGTTGAAAGGCTCAGTTGGCCTGGGCGGATTTCGATCCGGAGTTCAATCTCACAAGTCGGTGTTTCCCTTCTCGGACTTAGCCAACTTTTTCTACAGAAAACCACAGCACGCACCTTAGCAACATAGTCATCTGCTCACTTGAACGCATGCCAGAACGCTTCTTAATGGAGGGTCGTTATAGCTACCCTTCCTCCTATCGAAACAAAATCTCAATGTTCAAGGATAGTATCATATTCTAGTAAGCTGCAAGAAAAAATTGACTTCGTTGGATCGATTGTAATTGCCATTTCTAACAGCGAAGAAGAGCTAATGACACGTGCCCAAGATGGACAAATAAAGGAAGGCCTGTTAAGCAAATTATTCGTGGCTGTTATTTTTTTTTTGGAAGCGTCATACGCATGCTTCTACAGTTTCCTTTCAACAAACGCTATGTTTCAACAACCGCCCTACATCCCTGTAAATATGGAATCAAAGCCGGAGAGAACACTCTCATTTAGTTATTTTCATACGTTCATTGCTTTGCAGAATTGTAGGTCCACCTAAGAAGCCCTCTGGAATTTCCATTAAAATTTTCTAAGAAAACTTTCGGAAGAAAATTGTGCTCGTTTTAGGTAGTTGGTATCGGTACTAAAAATGCTGTTGATAGTGAACATACTTTTTTCAAGACATCCCTTAGAAAAATCCCACAATTGATCTAGATGGCTTTCACATTTTCAGCGTGGATTGAGGTAGACCGATTTTCGGCGTTTCTACATCCATCTGCTGTGGCCGGCCTCACAATCAGGAAATCGCGTTTCATAGAAGATGACATAATTGACTCAAATTTGAAGGCACAGTTGACGATGAGAATGATTCATGAAAATACTCTTGGGATGAATCTGTGCACCCCCCCCCCCCCCCTTCCATATACCATATGTGGAGCTGCCAGACCGGAACCGGCATAGACAGGGCGCCATGAGGCTTAAAGATTGTATCGGCAGTATGCCACACCCAAAGGTTGTACCTACCTACGTAATTTGATCAACTACTCGTGATCCATGGTAGGATAGAATCCGACACACACCAACACAAACACATCGACAAACCAACAAACACACTTAGCGAATTTTATTGGGTTGTAACATAAGTTCGTAGAGTTTTGTGTTAGGGTCATTTTACAGCGATTCGCTTTGATATTTCGTGAAGTGTATATATTCATTCGAAAGAGCTCTTTCTCCTCTATAAAACGGTATTATTCGTTTTTTGGATAATCTAGTTGTATGTCTTTTTTCTGGCTCAGAATTGGAATATCCAGGAGGAGAAAATCAGCATTTTCGACATCTGCTTTTCATCGAGGTCAATAAGCAGCCGAAGCCGCTCGGGACATATGCAGTGTGTACGAAGAAGGTGTCTTAGGTGTGTCTCTGGGTGGCCCCAGGAGAGACAATGAAGCCGAGAGTCAAGAAAGACCTCCGCTCAAAAAAGGGTCATGATTTGCGTTTGGTGAGACTGGAAAAGCATGGTGCACTAGGAAAGGCTCGAACGAAACGCTACTGTCAACAAGGAGGTCTACATTGCCCAGCTAAACCGTGTTAGTGAGGCTATTCGGCTGAGAAGACCCGATAGACAAGGTCAGGTCATCTTACTCCACGACAACGCCAGGCCCCATAATGCCTAAGTCGTCAAAACAGCACTCCAGAAGCTTGAATGAGTGGTTCTTCAGCATCCACCGTGCTCTCCGGATCTTGCACCAACCGACTACCACCTTTCCACTCTCTGTCAAACCAAATGAGGAGCGTTACCTTCGATGGCGAAGAGGTCCTTAAAAACTGGCTCAACAACTTCTTCGACCCCAGATCGGCCGATTTTTGGCGAAACGGCATCAACAAGTTGGTCGAGAGATTGAAAGAGGTCGCAAACAATAATAGGAGGATACATCACTGATTGATTTATTATTATAATTACTGTTTTTTGTTAAAATAAATCTTTGTGGAAAAACTCTACGAACTTATGTTACAACCCAATATATAGTAAGATAACACAATGATGTAAAAGTGTCTTTTTTTTCTCCTATAGGAACAATGAGAAGCAGTTCTGGGCGTATTTGGCCTTATGTGCTCTGCTATTTGCGCAATTGCAACATTTGAAATCTTGTCCAGGCACACCTTCAATGCTGTTACCATGACAGTGATCTTCGGACTTTTAGAGAGCCTTACTTTACGCAAAGTGCTGATTTTCTCACTTTGTTGTCACTGGCGCTGTCCACCAGCTACATTTTCACTTTCCAACTTGATAAGGAAATCTAAAAATTATTGGGCACTATGCCTTAAGAGACACTACGTTAATCCGTGGCCAAATATAGTCTCAATAGCTCAAAGCCGATTTTCATTATACTTCGAGAAGTATGCTCAAAACGACCCGGTCACAGCTAATCCTGCTAGCCCATTAGGGAAGGATCGCAAAGTGTCTTTGCGAAAAATGTAACATTTCAGAATGAGGATCATTCTAGTACTGCTACTGATTGTGACCGTCAGTGGGAGTCGAGCTTATGGCAACCTAGAGGGTATGCAAGATGTAATATTCCAGACATTGGAGCAAACACCAGAGGCAAAAAGATCGTTGGAGGAAAGAATCAAGGTGTCGTTCTTATCATTCATTCATTATTCATTGTCTACCATATATTAACCTTCTCTAGGTGGTTAGGTGACGAAGAGTCTGAAGCGTTTGTGCCATACATCAACAAGAAAACAACGAATTGTAGTATTGGAATACCAGCCCCGGAATTCAGATAGATACGAGAAGGAATAGAGAAAGCTTGATTTTATAGAGAGCGCCGAACCGCTCACTTCCGTGTCATTCCGAGAGGTAACAATATAAACGACATCAACTAAGGCAGCGATGTCATTGGGCAGTACTTCCAGGGCGATATAGATCTTTCGCCGTACGTGCTTACATCTGAACTTGTGATCTCTTTTGGAAACATATCACTATGTTTGAAGGGAACAAAAAAGAGAGATCGTGGCGGAGTTAGAAGAGAAGGAAAGTTCCGAACGTATCAGGCGTCAGGCGTTCAGCCCCAAACTTAAGGCGAAACTTTGGAAGGACGGAATTGTGTACTACTCTTTCAACAAAAACATCAGTATGTTCCACAGAGGCAGTCGTACAAATCGCCATAGTAAATAGTAAGTTTTAGGCAAGGAACTTCGTAACGTATTTAAAAAAGCAGCCGAATCATGGACAAAAGATAGTTGTGTTCAGATCATAAAGAATCCTGAAGGTAAGTCCTATGTTTGTGAGAAATAGTCGAGCCGTCACGCATTGCAATGTTTGTTATGCGAATAAACTTTCAGCGGAGGATCGTATCTCAGTGCAAAGCTTGAAAGGATGTTCGTCAGAGTTGGGCAGAAAAGGAGGCGTGCAGGGACTGTCCTTGGGACCGGGCTGTGAATCGGTCGGAATTGCTGCTCATGAGCTAGGTCATGCACTCGGGTTCTACCACACCCAGTCCAGGTACGATCGCGACCAATTCATCGCGGTGGACAAGGATAACATCAAGGTAAATGTGTATGAAGATAGCGATATGGAACTATTCCTATACTTCCCTTTCAGAAATGCATGGCCGATGAATACATCAAGCAGTCACCGGATACAAACGATAACTACATAACTACGGCTTGAGTACGACTACGGCAGCATCATGCAATATCCTGGAATAAAGTTTGTTATTTCCTTCACTTCAAGTGTTAAGGACCAAGAAAACCGTAGGCTGTGATGCGTTCTGTAACGAAAAGGAGAATTAGAACAAGAATAAGCCCAAAATGGGGTACTCGGCTCCTGCACTGGTCATTTTTCTTATTCATGATCGTTTTTAGTGGAGCAATCAGTGTTTCAAAGCCGACAATAATACCGTACGACATCAACTATCAGGCCACACTCGGATCACCTTTCGTATCATTCATCGATGTGTTAATGCTTAACAAGCTCTATGGATGCACAAGTTAGTTCGCAAGGTCTAAACCATCCAGGTAGTAGTTTCATTGCACACTTAAGAAAATCACGACGTTAGACAGAATCATTACACAGAAAATTCAGTAGCTAGACTACTCCTTTCTGCGGCTAACCGATTCGTATTTCCCTTCAATTCTCAAGGCCATCTATGAAATTTCGTTGAAGTTAATAACGCTCTTATAATTATAGACACAAGAACAATAAAAATCTCACTACTGGGATGCATGTTCCAAATTTTCACCTCTTCCACTCGGGCATAAAGTCTTTTCAGAATCATGCACCCACCCACTGAATCTGTAGAATGCGAAAATGGTGGTTACCCTCACCCACAAAACTGCCAGAAATGCGTCTGCCCACGTGGTTACAGTGGAGTTCGATGTACTGAGAGGGTAATGATAGCCTGTGAGAGCAAATAACCCCACTGAGGTGGACTTTTTCGCGAAGCTCAGTGTATTGAAAATCGCCTTATTTTGAATTCCTCATACGAGAAAAAGTCAGCAACTTCCACAATGTACAACGAAAATGAAGAAACTATCTGAATATGTACTGTTTGGAGCACAAGTACGGGTTCGAGTCCCGTCCGAGACTGGAGTTTTGTCCACAAATCGCCCACCTTGTGAGAGTTTTTGAATATGTTCGATAAAATATGACTGTTTCAGTCACCGGAGGGAACCAAAATTGAAGTTGAAATTCAAAAGATATATAATCAATATGATACCGATGGGTGCCCATAATGGAGTAGTAATCAAAACAAACGAGAATAAGCAACTTACTGGCTACAGGTACAGTTAATGCGTACAAATTTCAACGTGAACATGCTCTGCAATCATTTCAATTACAAAGCCCTAAGAAGAGGTTTGTGCAGGTTCTGCTCTCCTTTTGCAAAAGGACTTACTCTTCGCTCCTACACAAATCGAGTTCCTATAATTACGTAGAACAGAGCCCATCAGACAACTGTGACCCTGGCATATCGTTTTGGTAAGTCTAAGTAGATACAACTGTTCTACTCTGATAATATTGGATTACTTCAGTTGACGCAAGCAGTCCTCGTCCAACTTATCAAACAGTCAGACCATTTTCTACTACTGCTGCCACCACAACCACAACCACAACCACCTCTCCTACCACTCAACCAAAACGCAAATGCGAAGACAATCCAAAGTGAGGAGGGAACTTTGGCTTTAGTATGCAAGAACTAACTATGAATTTTCAGATGCCCACAAGGGACTACTTTTCTGTAGAATTCAGAAAACAAATGTGTCCTAAGATGTGTAATCTGTGTGATTAAAGTTGTCCCAGGACTATTTATGGATTACTGACTTTCACTCCCATGACAAGTTCACAACAGATCGTTAGAGAGCGAGAGAGTTTTGCTGCTGTTAATTTTACCCGATTAATAGCGTCAAATGGTTGATTTATCATGGCAACCAAATCTCGGACTTATATCCATTCAAGACAACAAGAGCTTCTACCTTTCCGCGTGCAGTTAACTAATATGTGTTAGTTCGGAATGAGCGAAGGTGGGGTAGTGGCAAGTGGCGCACTATTTCACACGCGTGGAATCGAGTCCGAATCCCGTATTGATATCCACCTAGGCCAGTCAAGCCACGATCCCCCGGGGTCGGACAAGAGGTACCAAACTAGTCTGGGAAACTGACTTGTACATCGGCTGGCCACCGCAAGCCTTTGAGCTCACATATGCTTAAGTACGCCACTACGTTTGTGAATGGAAGTCAAATGCGGAGGCGCGTCCCTCAGATGGGATTGATCAACACTTACGGGCTTCATCCTTTCATACTTTGCTCAGATCCAAACAATTCAATGATCAACAGATTCAATAGGAGCTGAACTAACAAATGTTCCGATATGCCAATTGTCACGGACGCGACCAGAGCAAGAGGAAAACATAGGCACAGTTCCTATGCGTTCCAGCTTAGATCCGCGACCGTGATAACCCGAGCATACCGAATGTCAGTATATAAATGGACAGAGCATCAGGAAGCATTCCACTCTTCCTTCCTGACTCTCAAGACTCATTCCTCATTTATTTTGATTATTCTATAGCATTGTTGGTATTGTATTGATTTGAAGTGATCAATATTTAGATCATCATTAGCGCATTTATTCGTCTTAGTATCTTAGAGCATTTATTCATGTTTAGTGTTTTAGAGCATTAATCACATAGCATATTTCACCATTGTGCTCA